CACCCCCAGGGGTCAGCCATAATGACCACATGCTTAATGGTCAAGCCCAAGGAGTCAGAGATTCCCTAACAGGTAAATCAGCAGGGAACATTTATCCTCAACTTCCAATGTTTCCTTCCACACAAGGGGAACACTATTAATGTAACATTTCTAGCTTCTCTTAGCTCCTTACCCATCGTCCCCACGGGCAGAGGTAACCTATGATATGATGTTTTGGGGAGGATCTGGCCAGCATAAGTCAGCAATTTACCCCCTCCCCCTCCTCCTGGAGCACTGTTTGCAGAGCCCGGGATCCTGGTGGCTCCTCCATGCTGTACATTTTCTAGGGACAAGACCTCACCTGCGACCAGGTGGGTAAGTCACACCCTGGCTTCGGCACTAGAAAGCGTGGTGTGGCTGACACACCTACACTCGTTTATCGATACAACAGGACGCATTTTTGTCTTGCTGCTCTGTTGTTTTACATTTTCATTCAGAGGGAAAACACTTCAGTAGACGATAACCTGGTTTGGTCTCCGGATCAGTTTCATGTTGAATCTACAGCTCATAGATGGAGGGTTTGATAGTTCGGTAATGTTGGTTCGCCCGCTGGGATCTAGCTTCCTCTACAGTTCACTCGCGGCTTCATAACCATTTCCTTTCCAAACCATCTCTCCTTTCAATCCATGAACTTTTAGGGAAATATCTTCCACGTGACTTCCTGTCAAAACCACGCAATCAATACCCAGCGAAGAGACAATAAATGCATCACAGGTTTTATTGATAAGACTGGAACAAACAAGAATATTAGCTTAAGTTAACTAACACACTGGGGGATGATACAGAAACTGCTATTTACAAAAACACAAATAGAAATAAAGCCCAGTTTTCATTCCACAATAGGAATAGTGACATATACAAAGCGATCATTTTATAAACACTGATCTCAATCATCCTTGTCCACTTTGGTTTCTGGGGAAAAAGACTGACGTGAATTCTTTGGCATCACCTTTCAAAATCGCGTCTTCCGGGGTCGTTATCCACCAGAGTGCCAGTCAGCGTCTGAGATGCACGCAGAGGGTGCACGCTGGGGAGTCATGGTTTACATCTCTAAGTTTCCCTTCAGTGATGGCCCTTCCACGGCAGTGAGGTGGGGGGCAGGGAGACCTGGGCGTGCAGGCAGGAGTCTGGCTCGTGCTCCCAGCCTGTGACTGAGCGAGGCCCCCTCCTGTCTCGCAAGTCGGGAGAATGATTCCAAACGTGAAAGGCTCTGGAAAGGATTCAACCAAACCGGCGCAGCGCCAGCACCTGGTCTGACATCTGCCTGCAGGGGGCGCTGTGCGGGGCTGGCTGGAAACCACCCAGGCGGCTCACGGAACATGCCGGTTCTCTTCTCTCTGGTTAGCAGGGACCCTCCCCAAAGGAGTCCAGCAATTGCAAAAGAAAACAGGCTACAACGGAACCGAAAGCCGAGCTTCGATATGTTCTAGGCACAAGTCTGGTTCCTCCCAACTATTTTATAAATCACTTTGGTTGTTTTTATTGTTTTTTTTCCCAAGAACTTTGGCCCTCCTTCCTTTGTAAGGCAAATTCAGGGCAACTTCCTTAACCCTGATTTTCTCCTTAAAGCCCTTTTGATTTCAAAGAAAGCTCCTTTGCATTTTAGTGCCCTAAGAGGTAGGATATTTACCCTAGACTTTTTTAAAGATTTAGTTATTAATTTCAAAGGCAGAGCTACAGAGAGGGAGAGACAGAGACAAAGAGGTACTTTCCAGCTGCTGGTTCATTTCCCCAAATGATCACAACAACCAGGAGTAGGCCAGGCCGAAGCCAGAGCTTCTCCCAGGTCTCCCACGTGGGGCGCAGTGGCCCAGGGGTGGTCCAGCCATCCTGCGCTGCTTTCGCAGGTGCATTAGCAGGGAGCTGGATCGGAAGTGGAGCAGCCGGGACTCGAACCAGCGCCCCTCTCAGATGCTGGCACAGCAGGCGGTAGCTTAACCTGCTGCGCCATAGCGCCAGTCCCTACCCTCTACTATTTTAATAGGGTCATTTAACAGGAACATTTTCCTTTATTGAATCTGATGCCTTTGGGCTGGCTTGTAAGACAGCAAACTCACAGGCAATTCAAGCATCTTCAAAAGTGATCTACTCATTTTTGTCTCCAGCCTGCACGGTTGAGCCTTTTGAAATATTGCTTTGTAGGAGGCTACAGGGAACCCTAGTAGGCTGAAACCCATCCTCAGCCCGAAACGCCCACTGCCGAGAAGGGAGGCACTGGGTAGGCGGAAGCTGGTGCTTCATAACCCGACCTCAGACACGGCCCAGGCTGATGTGGCGCGGCCCAGAACGCCAGAGTCTTGGGTTCCAGTTCCTGCCCACACGGCTCTGCCACTATCCAGCTCGGGGCCTGCCACCTGCCACAAGCGGCCTGCAGTGTAGGCGTCCCTGGGGCCAGTTCCAGTTCCGATACCCCACGGCTCAAGGATTTCCGTTAGCCTCACAGCACGAGGGCTCTGAACGCCAACTCCTCCAGGAAGTCCGCAGGCTTCATCCTCAGATGTGCCGCCCCGTCAGGAAGAACAGCGGCCGGTCCTCCGCGGCGTTGGCCGTCTGGAACTCATCACGCAGCCGGAACTGCCACTCCTCCTCCAGCTCCAGGCGCACGACCGTCTGGCGCAGCGAGTTCCGGTCCTGGCAGATCACACACAAGGTGGCGCCTGGGAGACCGGCGGCAGGGGTGCGAGAGGAGGGAACATGAGAGAGCTGCTGCCGGACTCTCCTTGGAACAGCAAGACGGGGAGTCCAAGGGGATCTCTCTTTTCTTTCAGAATCATTTGTAACCAGACAGACACCAATGTGGGGATTTGGCAGAACAAATCGGCAGAAAAAGAGATGAAAAAGACCAGAACGGGAGAGGTGGACTGGAGAGAGTGGGTCTGACGGCAGATCGAGTATTCTCAGCGCCAGCCCTGGGCTCACATCGGCCCCCCCACCTCCCACCGCCTAAGCCCCCTTCTCCACCCAGCCAAGGCCTGTCCACCAACCCCCAGCCAGGCCTGGGGCGGCTCCCACCTTTCCCCACCTGCTCAGCCAGGGAAATTCTCTCTCCTCTCAACTCTGAGCGTACTGCTGTCCATCAATTGGGTTTTTTTAAATTTACTTATTTGATGGGATAGGCAGTGAGATCATGGGACAGCAAGAAACTGTCTATCAACTTCTTCATGCCCCAAACAGCCCACAAAAGCCAGGGCTGGGCCAGGCTGAAGTCCAGAGTTGGGTCTCCCACATGGTGGCAGGGACATCCTAGGAACTTGGCCATCATCACCTGCCGCCTCCCCAGGTTGTACTTAGCAGGAAGCTGGAGCCGAAGCCAGGGAGCGGCTGGCACTCTGATAGGGGACACTGGCATCCGGGGCGGAGACTGACCCCTGCACCAAACGCCCGCCCCGTCAATCAGGCTTTGCTCCCCTTCTCCGCCTCCCCCCTCCACCTGCACGCCCAGGCCTGCCTTCACAGAAGTGGTTCCTGGGGGCACAGAGTGACGTGGAAACCACTCCACGGTCCCCAGGGTTTTGCACCCTGAGCTGGCGAGGCAGGTCAGAGCGAGGAGTGGCCAGAGAAAAGCGACGGAAATGCAGCCTGGAAACCCGCTTTTACAGGCAAGTAGGCGGGTGCTCGTCATTCTGAACCGCGCCAGCGCGCCAGGAGGAAGAGGAGAGGCCAGCAGCGAGTCGAGAAAGGACTCAGCCCCAGGAAGCAGCCGCTAGGGTACCCAGGTGCCGGAGGGAAGGGTTTGGGTGGAGAAACACACAATTCAGAACATCTGTCTCCTGTCCGACAGATGGGGAAGTGTCGAGTCTCTACCCAACAGGCACAGGGCGGGGGAAGCCCCCAGGGGCCCAACCCCAGCTTTCTGTACTCTCCCGAGTGGGCATGGCGGTCACTGTGTCTCTCTGGGCCTCAGTTTACCCCTGGGCAAATGAGGAGCAGGGCCAGCGGCTTCGTCAGGGGCACCCCGGTCACCCAGGCCGCGTCCGTGCAGCAGGTTACCTTTCAGAAAGTGGAACTTCTTCAGAAAGCCGGCGCCCACGAAGGAGTCGCAGAGGTAGAGCAGGAGGCCACTGAACACGAGCGTGGAGCAGCCGACGTTCAGGGAGTGGGGCCTGGAGCTCACGTAGCAGACGGAAACCTGAAACGGAAGGCGTCGGAGAGAGACACAGCTCAGGACGTGGGGGGCTAAAAGCAGCACGCTCGTGCTCTTCCCACAGCGGCACCCCACGAACGGATCCCAGGGGCTTCTCTGCACTCGTCAACCTGTGAATTCATCTGAGAGCTGGCGAGAAACACTTTAGCGTCACAACTGGGCTGGATGCCCAGTGTCTTATGTTTGGGCAAACCATTCTCACTTGCAGTCTTAATTACGTCAGCTGTCAAGCGGGAGAAGCGGTTGAGACTAAGCAGATGAGTACAGCCAGCCCTCGGTGTCTGCGGGTTCCATCCTCGGGGATTCAAACAACTGCGCATAGAAAATGCAGGGAGAGGGGCTGGCGCTGTGGCAGAGCGGGTGAAACCGCCGTCTGCAGTGCCGGAACCCCATATGGGCGCCAGTTCATGTCTTGGCTGTTCCACTTTGGATCCAGCTCCCTGCGAATGGCTTGGGAAAAGCAGCAGAAGATGGTCCAAGGGCCTGGGCCCCTGCACCAATGTGGGAGGTCTGGATGTAGCTCCTGGCCCCTGGCTTTGGCCTGGATCAGCCCTGGACACTGTGGCCAGCTGAACCAGCAAATGAAAGCTCTCGCTCGCTCTCTCTCTCTCTCTCTCTTTCTCTCTGTGTGTGTGTGTCTCTATGTCCCTGTAACTGCTTTTCTGATAAAGAAGCAAAACTTAAAAAAAAAAAAAATGTAGGGAGGAAAGAAAACTGCATTTGCCACAAATACGCAGACTTTTCTGTGTCTTGATTCCCTGCACGCAGTCTGCTGCCTGTTCGCACAGCGTCCACTCCGCGCACGGGGTTGGAAGTAACTAGAGATGACCCAGAGCAGGGTCATCTGCAGACACGATGCTGTTTTACAGAAAGGACCTGCGTACCTGCAGATTTGGGGGTCCGCGGGGGCCCTAGGACCAACTCCCCCCAAGACCAGGGGTGACCACAGCTGTGCGTCACAGTCCTGACTCTCTGCACCCGACTGAGGCGTTTCCCGCCTCCTGGGCGGGAGCGGCCCCGCGCCTCACCTGAGGGCCCAGGTTAAGGTAGCAGTCGACGGACAGCACCGGGTGGCTGAGGTTCTTCAGGGCCAGCGGGAAGAAGCGGTGGCTGTGGTACTGCAGGAACTTCTCCAGCAGGAGCTGGGCGGGCGCCGCCAGGAACGTGTGCTTGCTGTCGGGGGCACAGATGTACTGTGCGGGCAGCACAGCCGCGGCATTCTCCGACACCTGCGCGGGAGGAGGGTGTCGGGCAGCGCCACCGCCCCCCGGGGATCAGAGCCCGGCCGGAGGCTGGGGCCGGGGGAGGCCCCACCACGGAACCGTGGGAACGGAGGACACACGGTTCGGGAACAAATCCTCCAGTGCGAGGCACGGGACAGCTCGTGGGGTGGTCGGTCTCCTCGCACGATGGCAGCCTCTGGGCGTGGACTTAGCACCCTCTCAGCCGCGAGGCACCAAGGGACTGGTGCACTCAGCCAATGTGGAATGAACAGATGAAAATAATCAGAGGCTCACTCATGAAACACTAGAAAACAGTCCGAGATGTCCTGCAACTAACCGCTGTGCAATGACCCCTAGTGGGAAAATAAGACAGGTTCAAAGCAAGAATAAAGACAAAATACCTAAGAGTTTAAAGACGACACCAAGGGACGTAAAAGAGCAGGCCTTAGGCACACGTGGGGTGGGGTGGGGGGCATGCCTGTGATGCCAGCACCCCACAGTGAGTGTCTGTTCCAGGGCCAGCTGCTCCGATTCCAACCCAGCTCCCTGCTGACGCACTGGGGGGTGGGAGGGCAGCAGCAGATGGGGACCTGCCTCCCATGTGGGAGACCCAGATGAAGCTCCTGGCTCTCAGCCTCAGCCTGGCCCAGTGCCAGCCACTGTAGGCATTTGGGGGGTGAATCAACAGACAGAAGATGGATTGGCTGATCTCTCTCTTCTCTGTATGTGTAACTCTGCCTTTTAAGTAAATAAATCTTACAAGATTTATTTTATTTATTTGAAAGGCAGAATTACAGAGAGAGGGGGAGCCAGAGAGAGATCTTCCATCTGCTAGTTCACTCTCCCGATAGCTGCAACACCCAGGGTTAGGCCAAGCCGAGGCCAGGAACCAGGAATTCCATCCGGGTCTCCCACGTAGGTACAGCGGCCCAGGTATTTGGGACATCTTCCGCTGCCTTCCCAGGCACATCAGCAGGGAGTCAGATCAGAAGTGGATGGGGCCGGCGCTGTGGCACAGCAGGTTAATGCCCTGGCCTGCAGTGCCGGCATCCCATGTGGGTGCCGGTTCTAGTCCTGGCTGCTCCTCTTCCGATTCAGCTCTCTGCTATAGCCTGGGAAAGCCAAGGAAGATGGCCCAAGTCCTTGGGCCCCTGCACCCACATGGGAGACCCGGAAGAAGCTCCTGGCTCCTACCTTCGGATCGGTATAGCTCCAGCCATTGTGGCCATCTGGGGAGTGAACCAGCGGATGGAAGACCTCTCTATCTCTACCTCTCTCTGTAACTCTTTCAAATAAAATTAAAAAAAAAAAAAAAAAAACACAACAACACAGAAGTAGAGCAGCTGGGGCATGAACTGGTGCCCATGTGGGATGCGGGCGCCACAGGCAGAGGCTTAACCTACTATGCCACAGCACCGGCCCCAGGTCTTTTGCTGAAGTCTTGCTACTTTGCAAGGCCAGCGAGAAAGGGCTTCCACTCCCAAGCAGGCTTAGGAGTGGGGGCAGCCAGGGGTGGGGCTGGCGTAGGGCAGGCGGGCAAATCCGTGTGCATTACTGTGACCAGCTGGGACTGGGGCTGGCTGAAGTGATCCAGGGCAAGGTTCAAGAGACGGGCCAGAGCCCGCGGGGTCACAGGGACCCGAGGCAGGGACGCAACAGCCCGTCGGGCTTCCTGGAGGGCTCTGGGCTCCGAGGGCTTGCTGCACTTTCACATCTTCAACTGCCCAGGCCTCTCAGCCAGAAGAGCCCCACGGTCAGACCATGGTTCTCCCCACCAGGGCCGGCCCTGACAGACGCGTGGCCACCCAGCAAGCCTGCCGCTGTCACATCACACAGCTATCTGAGCAGACATCGGGGGGGGGGGGACAGAGAAGGGCCTGGCAGTGGCCCTGCACCAGCCGGAGCTCTCAGCATACGTGCTGAAGTCCAAGGGCAGCAGGGACCCCCAGGGGGTCACTCACCTCCCAGCGTCCACGGCCAGCGGAAAACCCCGAGCAAGCTTGCCCGAGGGCCAAGCCCGGCCTCCGCCAGCAGCTCCCTACGCAGCAGGCTCACCTTGGAGGTGATGTGGAAGGACCGGTGCCCGCCCACAGCGATCTGCTTCTTCATCACGCTGAAGCGGTTGAATCGGCAGAGCAGGAGGCCGGCGCTGTGCACCCGCAGGTTGAAGTCCACGTCGTCACAGGTGAACCTGCCCAGAGCCAGAGGGGGAGCAATAGGACCTGCTGAGCCCACAGGCTGCCCCCACCTCCTACCCCGCCCCACCCCTGGACACTGTCCAGACACCTAAGGTGTGGTCCCCGGGGTAGGCAGCCACCGAGGGGGACTGGGCTCGGTTACTGGGATACGAGGCAAAACCAACCAGTGAACCCGCAAGGCTAACTGTGAACTCTCCGCCCTGGGAGGACCTCCCTCCACCCCCACCCCTGCTGTGCACCAGGCACTGTGTGGGAAACCCACAGGCACCGGGCCGCTCATCTACCACAACGAAGCCCCAGGGTGCCAATCCCAGCCAGGCTTGATAGCCGAGGGGCGCGAGGCTCAGAGACGGTACAGTCACCGGCCCAGCTGCAGAGCTGATCTGCAGCAGAACCCGGCCTGCCAGCAGCCTTGTCTGGCTCCAAACCACACCCCTAAGGCACCCACATGGGGCGTGTACCACCTGCCTGGCAGGGAGAGCCCTCGGCCAACACCGAGTGGCGAGTTATCTGTGAGCCGTGAACCCTTCTGTGGCTAGACACAGAAGGCGCCCCGTGGAAGCTACTCCATGGCTTTTCTCAGGCTCAAAGCTCCTGAAATCAGTGTATTCAGAGACAGACCCAGACAGCAAAGAAACTAAGTACAACAGTCACTAAGTACCCTGCAAATCGGAGGATGAACGGAATGATCTTTTTAAGAAATTATTATTTATTTGAAAGGCAGACAGAGGGGCCAACACTGTGGCATTGAGGGTTGGGCCTCCACCTGCAGCACCGGCATCCCATGTGGGCACCAGTTCGAGTCCCAGCTGATCCACTTCCAATTCAGCTGCCTGGGAAAGCAGCGGAGGATGGCCCTAGGGCTTGGGTCCCTACACCTGTGTGGGAGACCTGGATGAAGCTCCTGGCTCCTGGCTTTGGCCTGGCCCAGCCCCAGCCATTGCGGCCATTTGGGAAGTGAGCCAGCGGATGGAAGACTTCTCTCTCTGTCCCTCCCTCTCTCTCTCTCTGTAACTCTTTCAAATAAATAAAATAAATCTTTAAAAAATAAATAAATAAAAGGCAGACAAAGAGAGATCTCCCATTGCTGGTTCACTTTCCAAACACCTACAACAGCTGGGGCTGGGCCAGGCTGAAGCCAGGAGCCAGGAAGTCAACCCAGCTCTCCCATGTGGGTGACCAGGGCCCAGGCACTTAAGCCATCTCTTTCTACCTCCCAGGGTCTGCATTAGTGGGAGGCTAGTGTCGGGAGCTGGAGCTCGGATTCCACTCTGTGCTGTGGGTGTCACAGAGGTGACTTAGGTGCTGTACCAGATGCCTGTCCCAGGTTGACCAGTTGTGTGCAAATACACAAAATTATACAGCACTGGAAACCCTGTGAGCCCGGCCAGCACCCCGGGCAGGGAGCCCCTGCCGCTGGCTCTGTGGGGCAAGGTGAGACAGGCCTCAGGTCGCCTCTGTGCTGCTGGCCGCCTCCCGGCCCGGGGCAGGCCCTCACCGGTTCTGGTTGTACTGCACGTTCTGGGTCAGGTCCACGTTCAGGATGACGAAGTCGTGCACGTGGCAGCGGGAGAAGGGCTCGCGCACCTGGCTGGCCCTGGTCTTGCTGGACCACTTGCGCATGCCGATCAGGGCGTAGTGCGTGATGTCGGGCGCCGCCTCGATGTGCTGCATGATGTGTTTCAGGGACACATTCCTCTCCGTCCAGGAAAACTCCCTGCTCAGGGAGGGAGACGGGTGTCCCGAGGCCAGCACGTGAACACGGCAGGGCCCCGGCTTCCCACCTGGACCGGATGTCCCGAGGCCAGCACGTGAACACGGCAGGGCCCCGGCTTCCCACCTGGACCAGATGTGCCGGACGGGGCAGGTGCAGGTGAAGCCCAGCATGACCCCAGCAGGTGCCGCGCCTTTAGCACTTATTATCAGCACATCTTGGTGTGAAACGGGCTTCCGTTCTGCATGCTGAACACACCCGGGCCCACGGTGTGGTTAACCCTCACAACACGCCTCCGGCACAAATGTTAATGCACGTTTCAAAGACAAACAACCTGGAACCCGACAGATGAGCCGTCTGCCGTAGTCGCCCAGCTAGGCATTGGAGGGCAGGCTGGAGGGGAGGGCCGGGGCTGGCTGGCAGCAGGAAGGGGAGCTGGAGAACCAAAGGAGCCCACTTCCGGCTGAGGGCATCAGTCAGAGGGGTGCGCTCAGCCTGAGCAAAGCCCTGGCCACGTCGCAGACTTGGCTTTCTGTACGTGGTCGTCCCTCGATCCCCAGGGAGGACAAGGCCAGGCCCCTCGCGGCCCCACGGCATCTCACCTGCTCCTCTCCCCGGCACAGTCCACGTCCGCCGCGTTCCACATCACGCAGGAGTCGTCGGAGATGACGATGAAAGGCCAGATGTCCTGCGGCTTGATCCCAAGCTCCTCCTGCCGGCTCCGCTCCAGCTCCAGGTTGTGGTAGGACAGCTCCTTGATCAGGAAGTGGGCGGCGCCTGCAACAGAGCGACCCTGGACTCGGCTCCGCCCCACACCCGCCTCCATCCAGGACACAGCCCAGTCCACCTGCTCACCAGGGCTGCCCGCCCGGACAAGCCGGCCCGAGGGTCCTCCCACCGACCAGGGAGAAAAGCCCTCTCCTGTTTGCTCATGCATTTTGTCTCTCTGTGCTCTCTTTTCTAACAGTGGGAAACACGAACTAAATCAGTCACCACACATTAACAAATGGGATATTTACAGTCAAATACAATAGCTTTGGAAGTCCAAAAGCAGGAGCCTGCCTTTAGCCTGGCAGTTAAGATGTAGGACACCCACGTCCTGCATCAAAGTGCCTGGGTTGGAGCCCAGACGCAGCAGGGACGGCTCAATAGTGGGGGTCCCGGCCCCTCAAGCGTGACCTGATTTGAGTTCCCCTCTCCCAGCTCTGGCCCTCTGTGGGCATCTGGGGAGGGAGCCAGTGGACGGGAAGCCCCCCGACCCCCACCCAAACCAGCAAGCAAGCAAATGAAGAAATCGAATGTTTGACAGTGCCAAGAGCAGTTCGGCTCGCCCAAGTCTACACTGTCCTGGCCAGCCTTCACCGCAGACGCCTGCCTCCCCGAGCAGGTCCGCGAGCCGCGTACCCACTCCAGCACTGTTGAAGATGCTGGGCAGCACGAGCATGATGTGGTTGGGCCAGTACTTCTTGTAGATAGCCATCTCGTACTCCTTGACCACCAGCACGTGCAAGTGGCTGGCGCCGTCCATCGCGTGGTACAGGTTGAAGAGCCCGTGCTCGTGCCGCCCGGTCGTGGGCGTGAACGTGGGGCTCTTGATGTATTCACGACTCTGCAAAGCACAGGCACGGTGAGTGGGCGTGTCTAGGCAGACAGGGATCCCCTCTGCGTCGTCCACAGCAAGACAGGGTCTGGGTCTGCACTTCTAGAACCTCAGGCAGCCTCGGGATTTTGCATTTACCAGTAAAAGGCAGGAAACGTGACCGGGTGCCAGCCCCCTCTCCATGAGCAAGCTCTCGAAGCCTGCGGAGGGGTGGCAGGCCACGTGGAGCACAGGTGTGCATCCCAGCAAAGGCCACCGTAGACCAGCCCACACCCCACAGCAAAGCCAGACTGCCGACCAAGGCCACAACAACCACCCAGCCGAACCCTGCCCACACAGCTGGCTTGCTTGGGAATGGCTTATAATGAAATTAAACTAACCAGCACATATTAGTCCGCCACATTCCGCACCCTCTCGTATTGGAATCTAAGCTAACTCTGTGCTCCCAGTTCATGCTACTCCCATAGGTCTCACAGCCTCCACACACGGACAGAGACAGGCTCAGAGACAACGCGCTAGACAACACCATGAGTAAATGGTAGAGCAACACTGGAACTTGAATCTGAGCGGCTCCACGGCCCAGGGCTGTACCTGCCTCCTCCCAGGTCAGGCACCAAGCAGGTTCAGCACCGCTCCGCCTGGGTCCAGGCCCCCAGCTCAGGGATCCCCAGAAGCTACTCTGATGTGCCGCACGGGGTGCCGAGTGTGTACCTTGTCTGTGACCAGCGGCAGCCGCATGCTCTCCAGCTGGCCTCCGGGTTGGCTGAAGACGAAGTGGTGCTCCTTGGACTTGGGGATGATGAAGTGGAGCCGGATCTCCTCTCCTAGCATGGAGTAAGAGAAGGCAAAGGCGTGCAGGGTGGACTCATAGAGCTGGGGTGTAAGGGAAAGGACAGAGCTTGTCATCAGAGTCTGGCCGACTTCCTAGAAGAACCCAGGCCCAGCCTGGCCACGACAGCATGCAGGCCATGGCCGCCTCTGCCCCACAGCACCAGAGACCCCAGGGTGGCTTCAGTGCCAAGCGTGCAAGCCCAGGTCTGGCTACAGAAGCACACACCTGAGGTGAAGGCCTACCCAAGTGCTAGAGTGCGCCCACCCTGAATGCCAATCACACGGCTGTGGGCACCTCACTCCAGTCACCAAGCCCGCTGCCCCCTGGATGACCGAGTCCACATTCACACCACAGATCTCATTTTTCATTCTAATCCATATGTTCCAGGCACAGTTACCATGTGCAGTTGCATATGAATGTGACAGCAGTAACTGCATATGCAGGTAATTTTGTGCACCAGGCATCCATCTGTCCCCTTCACACTGTAAGTAACAATCCTAGGAGGTGGGCACTGCTGTCAGCCCCATTTCACAGGCATGAGAACTGAGCTTAGAGCTTGGGGGTTCACTCCTGCCCTAAGTCCAGCCTCGCCCCTGTCCCTTCCCCCGCCTCTGCTTCCCAGCTGGCCTGCACCCTCACATCCACGCACCTGCTCTCTCTGCACCCTCACATCCACGCACCTGCTCTCTCTGCACCCCCACATCCACGCACCTGCTCTCTCTGCACCCCCACATCCACCCACCTGCTCTCTCTGCACCCCCACATCCACGCACCTGCTCTCTCTGCACCCCCACATCCACGCACCTGCTCTCTCTGCACCCCCACATCCACGCACCTGCTCTCTCTGCACCCCCACATCCACGCACCTGCTCTCTCTGCATCCCCACATCCCCACACCTGCTGCTGTCTGGCATGGCCTCCAGCTGGGCTTTGTCCTCAGCTCGGGCAGCCTCTTAAGGGCACTGCCTCACAAGACAGGAGAGACAGGAGGCAGAGCACCTACAATGGTTCTGTGCTCCAGCCAGGGCCCTACTGAGGTCACAGAGCTTTGGGAACAGTGAGGAGGGAGTAAGAGCCCGGGATTTGGAGAGGAAGCAAAGGGGAATGCAGCCGAGGAAGAGTCACACACAGGTCCTAGGGTTCTGGGAGCTGATAGAAAGAGGACAGAGCGGGCAGAGGCAGGGAGGGGCAGCCAGGAGCCAGCCTTTGCCCTCGGGACCTCGCACTGGCCCAGCTTAACACCCCTCACCACCTTGGACATGGTCCCAGGCTGTGACCCCAGATCTGGGCACCCCCAGCGAGCCAGGCCCCGGGGCTCATTCCTGTGCAGCCCACGGGCGAGGGAGCGTCTCTGCCTTCATCTGAAATGACCACTGCCCACATTTCCAGAAATCAGCCTGACTCACACCCTCGAGTCCACCCCAGCTCCTGATACCCCCAAATCCAGAAAAGCTGTCCACATGCGTTTTGTGAAACTTTGAAAGAAAACCTTCATTTCCAAGAACAACTCATGTTCGGAAAGTTTATCTGCAGCAAACAGGATTACTCAGCAGCTGAGGGGCACTGCTCTGGCTCTGCCCACGGACACCAAAACCTGCAGCCATGCGGGGTCGGCACAGGCAGAAAATGTGCCGCTGGCTGAGCCCGGGGAAGCGTCAGACAGACGGCCAAGGGCATTCTGAGCCTCTGAAGATTTGCTTATCCTTTCTAATTCCATCTGCAGGAAAAGCACACTTTTTTTTAATTAGTGCTACAGGAAGACAGGCGCTACTGGCCACTGTGCAGTGTCTCGCACATTGCCTGGCACACAGTAGGCGCCCAATGCATGCAGATTCCTCTCCAGTAATCAGGCTCTCTGGCTCGCCCGCTCTGCTCTGACACTGCTGGTGTGCGTCCACTCCCAGGTGGTGAGTGGTAAGGATGGAGACTGAATCCACTCACACCCGCAGCCCCAGGACCTGGCACACAAGCACCCGGTGAGTGCCACCAGACTGACTCCTAGAAGCCCCAGGTTCCAGAGACGACAATGACAGCCGTGCCAGTGACCCCGGCTGTGTTGCTGTCCCATGGGGTCAGCAAGACCCTCACAGACGCTGAGGGCATCGGAGATGCCGGGGAGCAGGAAGCAAGTCTGCAGAGGCGGGACCAGGGTGAGACACGCGCCGGCAGCCGCTGGACCCGTGGCCCAGGACGGGGGCCGTGGCATCGCGGGGCCTACCTGGTAGCGGGGGTGGAAGCCCATGTACTGGTGGCACTGCTCGCAGTGGTGGTACGTGTCGTAGGCCGCGTACTTGGACAGCCTCATCCGCGCTGTCTGGCGTCGCACGTACAGGTCCTCGGGCTTCCGAGACGTCCCCCCGTCTGCACAAAGTGCCCGGATGTTAGGGAGCAGCAGCAGGGAGTGAAACAGCTTCATCCCCTGCCTCCTCAGCCTCAAACCAACGCGGCGCTCACAGGAACCGGCCGGGTGGCGGACCTTTGGCAATGGACGAGGCTGGCCTCCCACATCCCGCCCCACGTGGCTCTACCACGGAGGGAGGCCACAGCCTGGGGGGACAGACTCAGAGACTGCTGGTGCAATGCCTCACGCGTGCACCCCGCATCCTCCTCCCCACGGGACGACGGACACTGGTGCAACTAAACACGCAAATCCTGCAGTGCCTGCTGGCAAGGTTATCTGGATGCCACACCGCCATCAGAGCCACTCAACGGGAACAGAAGAGGGAGCAATGCAGACAAAACTGTTGGTCTGAAATGGAGACCTCACATGGAATGTTCTAGACGCTCCGAGTCTGCGCTTACGATCCCACTGGCCGCTGATGCATCGTGGGAGGCAGCGAGCCCCACGGGTCCCGACTGACTCAGACAAACCCACAGCTGCCACCCTCTGGCAGCCAGAGCCTTTGGCACACTCTGACCACGACCAATCAGCAAGCGGTGCCATCGCCACTGGCAGTGCCCAAGCAGCAAGGCTCCTCTCGCAGGATGGGCGATGGTCTCTCCCTCATCCGGGAGGTGGGGACCTCGGTTCCACGCCAGGCACTGCTCATGCGTTCACCACCTCCAGCTTTCCTGGCTAACAGCAGCGAGCGAGCCCCTGTAACGGGCTCCGCCCGTGGGCTCGGGGACGAGGGGGAGCGGGCGAGCACCTGACCTTCACTCGCGACGCTCTGCTGGTGGGAACAAATCAGACTGGCATCCTCGTACTTGGGGTCGTGAATGATGTAGTCGAAGGGCAGCTTCTTGAACAGCTGCAGCTCCGGCCAGGGGTCGCTGAGCTGCAGGTAACGCCAATCCGATTCTTCCCCGAGGCCTGGGGATGGGCAGAAATGCGGATATGTGGCACGACAGGAAGCGAGAGGGAGTTGCCGTGTGCAGCAGAACTGGGCGAGGTCCGTGGGTTCCTGGGCGAGCCCACGGCATCGTGAAGGCTCCTGGCACATACGCTGTTTTCAGGACGGTTCCCGCGAGGCCAGGTGCACCCACATCTACTCTGCAGAGACGGACAGGTTCGTGCTGCTTCCCACGAGATGGCTCTGCCCTCGGCCCCTCATGCTGACCTCTCATCCTCCCAGGTCCTGAGCCCACCCACAGGAGTCCTGCGCCTCTGCTTCTCCCCAGCACCAGGCCTCAGTCTACCTCGCTGGCTCCTAGCACCAGGGAAACACAGGAGAGCCCCTTCTTGTCTCCAAATATCCCAACGCTCCCAGCCAGTGCAGCTCAGCTCCGACCATGCCACCACCAGAGAGTGCTCCCATGTGCCCAAGCCCACGGTTTTCCCCTCTCGATGCCAGCAAACCGGGTGCCCAACCACACACTGGCATTTGCCATCTATCACCCTAAGTCATGCTAGGGACACAGTACTCACTAAATGCTTATTGGCTAAAGGGGTAAAACCATGCAGTTGATCCGTCTCACATTATGTATTATATAAATATTAACATATGTATGAACACAAGGCAGGGTGCTTGTCCATAGCAGGAAGTGGAAGAATATTCACCGTGAATTTAACAAGTGCTAAGTGTGTAACGGCATGCTGTTATAACACCTGTCAAACAGGAAGTGTCCCTGTCTTATGGAAGAAGAAACTTAGGCCATAAGAAGGATTTAAGACAATGGACTTTGGAGCCGGCGCTGTGGCACAGTGGGCTAGGCCTCTGCCTGCAGCGCTGGCATCCCATATTGGGCACCGGTTCTAGTCCCGGCTGCTCCTCTTCCAATCTGGCTCTCTGCTATGGCTTGGGAAAGCAGTAGAAGATGACCTAAGTGCTTGGGCCCCTGCACCTGCATGGGAGACCCAGAAGAAGCTCCTGGCTCTGGACTGGCTCAGCTCCAGCTGTTGTGGCCATCTGAAGAGTAAACCAGCAGATGGAAGACCTCTGTCTCTCCCTCTCTGTAACTCTGCCTCTCAAATAAATAAATCTTTAAGGCGAGAACAGGATTTGATGTTTAACACAGTGGCTCCAAGTCCCGTCTTCGTCATTAGATATCCCACAGAGTGAGGGGACAGGAAACTCAACAGGCCAGTGGCTTTCATCAGAATGCAGTTCCCAAACCGTGGGGAAGGCACAGGAAACTCGGAACCTGGCTGACAGCCCCTTCCCCTCCAGGGAAGACCGAGGCTGGCCGGCCTCCTGGGCCCACACCCCCACGTCACAGCCCCAGCACAGCCGAGGCATCACCCAAGGCGCCGTCAGAGGCCAGCAAGGCCACAGAGGCCCCCACACTCGGTCTCATGCCCAGAGCCGCAGGTTCACCTCCCAGACGGAGCTGACGAGCCCTGGGAGGGGACAAGGGCACTCACACAGCCTCACTGTACCCAGGGCAGGTTCTGCAGGACAGCCGGAGCTCCCGCAACGCCCCCAGCTCAGCTACTGAGGAGGAAACTCCTCTGTGGGTTCCCCACCCTCCACAGGGGACGTCACATCCAGTTAACCCCAGCTCAGCACGCGACCTGTCAGCAAGGTGGAATACCAACACCTATCTCACGCCGTCGAAGTGTGGCACTTTATGGGGCGTGCCCAGTGCACTGGCAGGGGATCCCTAAATAGCAGCTGCTTTAGTACCGGTCGCCGCATCCCTACACAGCTGCCCAGGCAAGTGTCCTGCAGGCCCCCCGTCGTGAACCGTGAGTCCCGTCGGCAAGGGGAAAGGCGCTTTTACAGGAGACGCCGAGTGAGCTACGCCAGGCCCGAGGGTCCGCAAACAGAACTCACGGATATTGACCTCCTCTTCATCGTAGACGTCCACCTCCGTCAGCCGAATGAGCATCCGGGACAAGATGCCCAGGAACTGCAGGTAGGCGCCCGTCTTCCCGATCTGCAAAGACAGCCAATTGGAGCCCATAGCCCAGAGGCCCCGCCCACACACTGGGCTCCGGCTCAGCCACTGGCCGGGCCTCCTGCCACTCATCTCATGGACAGACCAGGTCTATGCAAAGGCATTCAAGGGAGTGCAGCCTAAAGCAGGCGGCAGGCAGACAGGTGGACTCCAGGAGCAGGTGGGCTGCCTGCTCAGAGGGCATCCCAGGCGCACCTGCTCCTCGTCACCAGCCCCGTCCGTAGGCTGCTTTCAATGTCTTAAGAGCTCCTTGGGGGCGGCGCTGTGGCGCAGCGGGTCAAAGCCCTGGCCTGCAGTGCCGGCATCCCAAGGGGCGCTGGTTTGAACCCCAGCTGCTCCACTTCTGATCCGGCTCTCTGCTGTGGCCTGGGAAAGCAGTGGAAGACGGCCCAAGTGCTTGGGCCCCTGCACCCCCGTGGGAGACCCAGAAGAAGCTCCTGGCCCCTGGCTTCAGATCGGCACAGCTCCAGCCATTGTGGCAATTTGAGGAGTGAACCAGCGGATGGAAGACCTCCCTCTCTCCCCGCCCCCTTTCTCCCTCTCCCCCTCTAACTCTTTCAAATAAATCATCTTTTTAAAAAATTTTAAAAAGCGCTCTCTGTACAACTGTAAATTGCCTATTTTCAGATTAAGTGAATTAATATAAATGATCTATGTCTTTTTTTTTTTTTAAGGTTTATTTTACACAGAGGGATCTTCCATCTACTGGTTCACTCCCCAGATGGCTGCAAAAGCCAGGGCTGGGCCAGGCCCAAGCCAGGAACCTGGACTCCATCCGGGTCTCCCGCATGGTGGCAGGGGGCCGGCCGCAGGCCGCTGCTTGCGCAGGTGCATTAGCAGGGAGCTGGCTGGAACGGAGGCAGCTGAGACTCGGCCGGGCACTCTCTCAGGGGACGCCGGAGTTGCAGGTGTCGGCTTAACCTGCTGCACCACAGCGACAGCCAGAAACCGCCTGCTTCTATCGCTGTCTACATAAGGTCAAAGTTCACCGCTAAGACACAAAATGGCACCTCACTTCTCTCCTCCCCAGCCCAGGGAGAGAAAGCTTCTCCTCTTCTTCCTCTGCCACAGATCCTGCACCCCCCGCCCAGCAGGCGACTACTCGCAGCCACTCCCAGTGCCTCCCGGTAACAGCCAATTCCAGGGGCGCCACAGGCAAGCCCGGGCCCCCCCTGCTCCCACCCCCACAACACAACTGCTCCAGGCCAGCTTCCAAGCCCTGAGCTCAAGACCTGGTCCGCAACAAGAACTCAGCGAACACTGGTGAATGGGAACAACATCCAAAAGGAGACTAACACGAAGCCGGGAAAACTCGGAAGTGTCTGCAACCCGAGCAACAGGCCCAGGGTGAAGACCCTCAATATGTAAAGAGTCCCTACCAATCAACAAGAAAATCAGAGAAACAAAATCACTGGAGGGGAATATCAATGAACACATAACAATGCATTCTGGGGTCAGCGCTATGGCACAGTGTGCTATGCTTCTGCCTGCAGCGCTGGCATCCCATATGGGCACCAGTTCTAGTCCCGGCTGCTCCTCTTCCAATCCAGCTCCCTCTATAGCCTGAGAAAGTAGTGGAAGATGGCACCTGTGTGGGAGACCCTGGAGGAAGCTCCTGGCTTCGGATCGGCGCAGCTCCAGCTGCTGCAGCCATTTGGGGAGTGAACCAGCGGATGGAAGACCTCTCTCTCTCTATCTCCCTCTCTCTGAAACTCTATGTCTCAAAGAAATAATTAAGTCTTTTTTAACAAATGCAGTTGTGTTTCTAGTCCCCTCAGTAATGACACTATACTATGTTCACACACCAGAGGGGCAAAAATTCTAAACATCAGTAACATCCAGCAGGATGAAGATGGAAAAAAAATTTCTTTTTTCCTGTTTTTTTTTTTTGTTCAAATTAGAAAACGTAATATATGCTCATTTTCAGTAGTCAAAAAATGCAAACTATATTATTTTCAGACACATCTACTGATGTGTCTTCCTGATACCACACCACACAAACGTGTGTGATTCTGCCAATGAACTATTTAAATTCCTCCAAGAAATTCCACCAGCAGCCGAGAGACCGAACTCAATTCCTACGGCTGAATCGCTCCACCCGGGTGAGCCCCGATGTAGTCCACCAAGACCTGGCTGTGGACTCTGCTTCCAGGCTGTTCCCCAGGGTTAACACACACAGCCGAGCATTCGACACGTGGCTCTGCGGGGCGGACCCCTGGGGAGGGACTTGCTGGGGCCAAGGCAGCACAGCCCCACAGTTCCCACATCCTCTCGCCCTGCTCAGGGGAGGACGGGAGTCGCGGGGAGGTCCACACTTGCCCTGGTGTCAGGTGACAGCTGAGCCCCATCCCCGGCCCTTCTCCCACGCTCGCCACCGGACAGACACTCGTGCCCTTAGCAATCGCTGCCCGAGTGGTCGGCAGGGAAAAGCAGCAAGTTGGGGGAGGGCTGAGACAGGGACGCAGAGTGCCCCCAGCTCCTGGTTCCACAAACCCCCCGTGCAGAACCGGGCCGTGGGCTTCCGCGGTCACAGGGCATGCAGCCCTCACAGGCAAGGCCACGTGTGGGAAGCCAGATGCGTAATCTGCAGGTGGGGAGCTGCCCCCAGCACCACGCATGGGAGGAGACAGCAGGCCGTGGTGGCAGACAAGCCCCGCCCTCCATCAGAGAAGAAACCCAGGAAACGGCGAGAGGGGAAGGGGGCGGGCACTGCCGGCCCCAGGCCACGCCCCCAGCGATGACCTGAGTCCTGGGGGACACCCTGGGGACAGCAGGCGTGGGACCCACCTGGGGCGGCCCGCTGAGCAGCAGCCGGCGGGGGTGGAAGCTGTCCACGCGGCCCTCGGCCCGGTTGCCGTAGTCCATGTGGCTGGGCCGCGGCACCGTCCACTGCCGGTAGTACAGGGACTGCTCCGTGGACGTCATGGCCTTGCTGAGCAGCGGGCGGAAGGAGCTGGCCCACATGACCGAGGGGGAGGGCAGCAGCGAGGCGGCCTTGGGCAGGCCGCTGCTGTCGGTGGCCAAGACCATGTCGTACACCAGCTTGGGGAGGAAGACGATGGGCGGCTGCCGGCAGGCCTTGGCCAGGGAGCACTGTGGGGCCTGCAGGACCAGGGCGCTGCTGGCGGCGGCCGAAGCCGAGGAGCACGAGCCCGAGGAGGACGGCTGGCAGGACGAGGTGACCGCCGCGTGCAGGCTGCGCCGCCCGGGGCTGTGTGTGCTGGCGGCGGGCGGGGGACCCTGGCTGGCCCGGCTCCTTGGTTTTTCCCCGGGGACCCTGCCCTCCTCGGAAGGGCCGCAGGGCGGGGGCGACCTGGCCTGCTCTCTCTGCAGGGGCCCCGCGGGCGGAGCCCCAGCCTCCCCAGCGAGCGCTGAGCCTGAGGAGAGAAGACGGGGTCAGGGGCGTCCCACGGGAGCCTGTGCGAAGCCTGCCAGCCGCTCCCATGGCTGCCCCGTTCCCTGAGCTCTCTCGGGTGGCAGGAAGTGGCCCGGGGCTTGGAGCCAAAGCCCCGGTGGGCCCTGCCCCAGGCCACACAACAGGGTCACCCAGTGGCCCCCCGCCAGGCCCCCTGCACCCGAGGCTGGAGCTGCTGGAGCTCCCAGAGCCCAGGCCCTGCACCCCTGCCCTTCAGGGCCTCGGCCGGGGAAGCTCCTCCCACTCGGGCCACCTCCTCCAGGGCCCAGCCAAGGAACCCTCAGGGCAGGAGGTGGGGGGCGGGGCCAGGGGAGGAGTTTTCACAGCCCCTCCCCCCTCTGCCCGGGAAGCTCCTCCCACTCGGGCCACCTCCTCCAGGGCCCAGCCAAGGAACCCTCAGGGCAGGAGGCGGGGGGCGGGGCCAGGGGCCAGGGGGAGGAGTTTTCACAGCCCCTCCCCCTTCTGCCCGGGAACCTCCTCCCACTCGGGCCACCTCCTCCAGGGCCCAGCCAAGGAACCCTCAGGGCAGGAGGCAGGGGGCGGGGGCAGGGGCCAGGGGGAGGAGTTTTTGTTCCTAGCCCCTCCCCCTTCTGCCAAGGGTGGTCCAAGGCCTGGGGTCATGAGTCCTTGGAGTGAAACCTCCCATGTCTACTCACTTGGACAGGGACACCCCATCCCCAACCCCACCCCCAGCCAGGTACTTCCCAAAGCAGTAGCATCATGAGGATACGACCACCACCCCCAAGATGGCCCTGGCCAGGGGTGGACCCCATGGTCCTCTCCCAGCCCGCCCCTCCCCTCAGCGTCCCAGCCTGCAGATCCCAAGTTCACCCCAGGCCCGCTCCCTGGAGGACCCAGCTCTTCAGAGCCTGACCCCATGGAGCTACACCAGTGCCAGCGAACAGCCCCTCCCCCGTGCCTTTGTTCTGGGAAGCCTCAGCCCTCACCCAGCTGGGACTCCCCCATGGGGACTCACCGGATGCCGTGGAGGACAGGGGCGAGGACGCCGAGTCCTGGGAGCAGGGCCTGTCCCTTGTCACCGGGCTTCTCCGCTCCAAGGCAGAGCCCGCTGCAAAGCACACGGGCGCTGGAAAGGCGTGGGCACCTGCGACCCGGCCGCACACCCAGCCCTTCACACATCACCCCCTGTGCCCCCACCCGCTGTGGAGCACGGAGGTGGCAGGACGAGAGAGGTGGTGGTGGCTGTGGGTGCCCCCAGGCCGTGGGCTCCTGCCCAGGCGGTGCAGCACAGAGGAGGACCGAGTGGCCAGCAGGTGGCGCTGCGGCCATCTCGTCCCACGCCACGAAGGCCTTGCGTTTCTCATGTGCTTGGCTTTCTCATCACCCCTGGCCACGGCCAGACGCCCTCCGCCACTCTCCCTTACGTGGCCTATGGGAGCCCCGGTGTCAGGCTGCAGGGGGCTGCAAAGGGGACCCGCCAGCTTGCACAAACCACAGTGGTGGACAGCACAATGGTGGCTCCATTCGCGTGGGGACAAAGAGGGAGCCCGGCACAGGCAGGAATGCAGCTGACAGTCAGAACAAAGCCTCGACCTAGCCCTAGGAGACCTCGACGTCCCTCCCACCCTCCAAGAGTTCTAGGGCGAGAAAGAACCCAGGGGGACTTCCCACTCACCCCACCCATCGGGGGGGCACACGGGAACTGAGCGACGGCTGCTCTGGGGGCTCCCAGCCCCACGACCCCGCGGCAGGGACCCCCGGGGGACAGGTGGGCCTCACCTTCGGTCCCCGGCTCCTCCTCCTCGTTGTCCGTGCTGCTCAGCTTCTCCGCGTCGCTCTCCAAGGCCTCGCTCCTGGGCCCCTTGTCCGAGGGCAGCTCGCTGCTCACAAAGTAGGCAGCCAGGGCCAGCTCCTGCTCCAAGGCCGTCCTCGCCAGGCACGAGGAGTTGATCAGGCGCAGGTCACAGTACCTCAGGGACCTAGGAGGCGGCACGGGCACGGCCTCAGGGGGTGCCCTGTGCTGAGCAGGTGGCAGCGACTGGGGGCCCCCGCCCTCCTCCTCCTCGTGACGCCAGGACCCGCGCCCGCGGGAAGACAACCAGGCTCCCGTGAGCCTTTGCAGCAACGCCAGCTTGCCGGCAAGGCCGCGGGGCACCTGCTGCACTTGCGACTCTACTGCATGTGATGGAAAGAGCAATGAGTTTAGGGTCAGGCGACACAGGGCTGGAACCCAGCTCAGCCACATCCACGTGATGGAACCTTCGATAACCGCGTAACTCCTCCGGGGCTTTGATTTTAACAGATTTACTTATTTACTTGAAAGGCAGAGTTGAGAGAGAGAGGGAGAGAGCGAGAGAGAGAGAGAAGTCTTCCATCTGCTGGCTCACTCCCCAGAATGGCTACAATGGCCGGGGTTGGGCCAGGCCAAAGCCAAGAGCCTGGACCTCCATCCAGGTCTCCGGCGTGGGTGCCGGGAGTCCAGCAGCAGCCCCATGGCTAACCCACAGGTGCCTTTCTGAGAAGTGGGAAAAAGCTGTCTGTGCTTCTCACTGCCATCTGCTGGAAACTGCTAAGAATTACACCATCTGCCATGACCACAGCTGACAGTGAAGGGCGCTCCCTGGAGCCAGGCCGTGGTAGCACACCCGGCCTCACCTGGGCAAGGACTCCCCGAGTGGGTCCGCCCCACTGAGGATGAGGATGCAAGGCAGGCCCTCCAGCTCCAGGTAGGTCTGGGGTCTCCACGCCGCGTCCTCGATGTTCTGCCACATCTGCAGACAGACAGAGATGAGGTCCGGAGGCCCCTTCCTCCCCAGGAGCCCGGCTGTCCGGGGCCCTCGCCACGCAACTCTCTGTCCACTTCACTGCGTTTCCCAATAGGTGTACGTGTCCGTCCCTTTCTGCACTTTATTCGTTTATTTGAGAGGCAGAGGCAGAGGAGGGGGAGGGGTGGAGGCAGACAGTATGCCCCACCCACCAGTTCACTCGCCCAACACCTGCGGTGGCCAGCGCTGGGCTGGGCCAGGCCGAAGCTGGCAGCCAGGAGCTCCAAGCAGGTCTCCCATGTGGGCGGGAGAAACCCAGTCAGCTGAGCTCTCGCCGCGGCCTCCCAGGGTTTGCATCAGCAGAGAGCCCGAGTAAGGAGCCGGCCCCAGGTACCGAACCCAGGTACTCCAACGTGGGATACAGGCGCCAACCTCCAGGCCCTGTTCTCGAACACACTAACTGGGCAGTCTGAGCGTGTCCGTTCGCAGGTCTCTGGGAGGGAGGGCCTGTGGGTGCTCCCTAACCTCTGCATTCTCTCCAGGCCTAGTGACAGCTCTGCTGGGTCAGGCATTGTGCTAGGTGAGCCCTGAGGGCTGGTCCTTGTCCCCAGCCCCTGGAGGAGGGGCGGGGACTGCAGGGACCTGGGCCCAGCCCCAGCAGTGGGGGAGGGTGGCCTCCTGAAAGGGGCAATGACCTTGATCTGGGGTCCCCGCAGCTGGAGAAGAAACGCACCCCAGGAGGCAGGAAAAGCTGGGGCAGCCCTGGGGGTGTGAGAAAGGTACCCAGGGGAGCCGCAGGGGGCGCCGCGCCCTGGAGACGACCCGGGCTGGGGGTGGCGGGATCCCAGGAGGCCAGCGGGGGTCCCTGGAGCCCACCTTGAGCTGCTTCACGAAGTGCTTGCCCACCGTGACGCCCGCGCTGGGGTTGCCCAGGACGATCTCGAAGCGCTCCTGCAGCGCCAGGCGCGCGCGCACGTGGGCCAGGCGCTCGTAGGCCACGGCAGCCAGCGGCGCGCAGGGCACGCGCAGCAGCACCATGAGCCCGTGGCCGCGGGGGCACTGGGCAGGCGCGTGCAGCAGGTTCTGCGCTATCTCCAGCGTCTCCACCGACGTGTGGTTCTTCATCTGCGGCAGGCCGCTCACGGCCATCAGCGCGGCGGCGTAGTGCTGCACGAGAACAAGGGTCCGGATCACCGCGCTGTGCAGGCGGGGGAACCTGCGGGGACAGAGAGCGGCCGTGACCCGGCTGCGGAGGACGCGCGGGTGCGCTTGTCTCTTGGCGCCTCCCGGCCCCTGGTGCCCCACGGCGCAAACAGATGGAGGAGGGAAGGGCCAGCGCAGCTCTCATCGGCCCCAAGGAGGCAGGGGCAGCTCCCGGGGCTCCCCTGGCATCGGAGAGCCTGCAGCCACACCCACAGGCCCTCAGGCCAGGGGCCGGGCCTCCACACACTGCTCCGTTTCCATTACAGGAGTCGCGTTTGACAGCAAGTCCCAAATCAGAACACCTACAGTCAAACTGACGGTTACCACGCGTCCCCACACAGAGCTGGTGGCTCCTGGAGCGGCTCCGACCCACACAACGGGCTAAAAAATAAAAGGGTGGGGGCCGGCGCCGTGGCACAGAGGTTAAGCCTCTGCCTGCAATGCAGGCAACCTATATGGCACCAATTGGAGTCCTGCCTGCTCCACTTCCGATCCAGCTCCCTGCTAATGCACCTGGGAAAGCAGAAGGTGGCCCACGTGCTTGGGCCCCTGCACCCACGTGGGAGACTTGGATGAAGCTCCTGGCTCCTGGCTCCGGTCTGGCCCAGCCCTGGCCATTGTGGCCATCTGGAGAGTGAACCAGCACATGGAAGACCTCTCTCTCTCTCTCTCTCTCTCTCTCTCTCTCTCTCTCTTTCTGCCTCTGCCTCTCTGTAACTCCGCCTCTCAAATAAATAAATAAATCTTAAAAAAAAAAGAGAGAGAGAAAACCTTTAATTTGAAATAAATAAAAAGGTGAAAAATTATCACCTATGTGCATATGAATCAAAATAGAAACTGGAGTAACCAGATTAATATCAGGCAAAATCAATTTTAATGCAAAGAATACCATTCTTGGGGCAGTGAACAAGATCAACAGTCCACAGATGCACCCATTGCCAATAAAAACGCAGGCAACCTCGATTATCTCTCACTTCCTTCGCACGTTCTGGGCTCTGCCCTCCCATTTCTGCCCTCCCACTGACACACAACCCCACATCCTAGCACACTTCTGCCCATTCTTCTCTCTCAGGCTTTCTGGAGCGGAAGCGTGGAGGCAAACACAGGAAGCCTGGGTCCCTTGGATGGAGAAACCGAGTCACCGGGAAGGGAGGGGGTGAACTCCCTTCCTGAAGTCCCAGGCTGGCCGCCCACACTGAGCATTCCTGGTAACTTCCGAGAGGGCGCGTACCTTTTGCCTAACGCTGTGACCATGGCCTCAAAGGAGCTGTCGTATCTGAGCAGGGGCAGGCTCTGTCCGGAGAGGGTGGATTCGATGAACTCGGCCAGCCCAAAGTACTTTTTATTCTCATGATACAAGTCGGCGCCCTGGAACACAGGACGGCGCCGTCAGCCACTCAGCGGTGCCTTCGTGGGGACGGCGGGGCTCCCGCGCCAGGCCCGGGGGCCGCAGGAGTCACGGCTGGCTCTGCGCCACGTGGACGGCCGTGGGCCTTCCCCTGCAGGCCCAGGGCAGCGCGCAGCCCACGCTTGGAAGGCCGCGTCCCCTTCCGTCGGGAGCGTTCCGTTCACTTGACCACAGTGTCTTCACCGAGAACACTGGCCTTTTTAACGGACCGATTTCCCTGTTCAAACTGTTTACTTCCCCAGGGTCAGCTGGCTTCAGGAAGGGACAGACGGTTCAGCTGCTACTAAAATCAGCAAACAGATGATGCGTTTATCTAATCCACTTCTGCAACACTGACAGAAAAATCTCTCCCTCACCGGCACGGGAGCTTCCCAAAGGCTGAACCCCGGGCCCAGAGCGCAGGGTGTCCCAGTGCAGGGCCAGCCCCAGCTCCATCCCTCAGCACGGCGTGGCCTGAGCCAAGCAGCAAATCACCTGCCAGCACCTGCCCCCAGCACGATCATCCAGGTAAGGCACCTGCAGCCTCGCAACCAGGGGCTGACACATCCCTATTCTGAGGCCCAGCAGCTGGGTTCTGCAAAGTTCCTCAGATGACTGCGAGGCACCTCAAAGAAGCCCGGAAGTTTGCGGCGACTTGGAGAATTATCCAGACTTCGGCCGCCCAGACTTCCCCAATTATCAGAACCGCTTTGGCCTTCTAGTTTAATGAGAATGAAAGCTGATAAACTGAACCCAAACTCACCAGGGCTTTGAGCCCCACTGCTTAAGGATTCGGGGATGGGCAAAGCAGGAACGTTCCTAAGGCTTCTAGATGCCCTGAGAGTCGCCCCGAGGGAAGCCCAGGTCCCCACAGGGTCTTCAGCCCTCTCCCTAGAGCCACCAAGAATAAATGTCCAGATGTGGCTCAGACAGCGCCGGCCAGTCGCTGGAGCCACCGAGGGAGGAGGCCAGGAAGGGTCTAAATCTAGCCCCAGGTGGACGCACAGGTCCAGGGAGCCGGCCTGAGCGAGCAGCAGCCGACTGCTCTTACTAACCATCACGCAAGCGCGCGGGCGACAGCGAGGCCCAGCGCCCCGTGGCACTCACGTTACTGTAGGAGGCCGGCCAGTGGATCTCGTTGTAGGGGCTGATGAGCGTGTGCTGGGTCTGCAGGGCGTACGGGAAGGAGGTCACATGCAGGGTCACGATGTTGGGGGCCTCCTTCACCTCCCTGCAGTTGAGCAGTCTGTCCACCAGGCCCACGCAGGGCTCGCTCTGGGAGCAGACGTTCTGAACAGCGCTGCTGCGCGGGGAACAGGAAGAGAAGACAGAGCCAGTGAACTGCAGGTGCCGCCTTGTAACTCACGGGGATAGAGCAGGGCAATTCACTGGTGACCCAACCCCAGCTCTGCCAACCACGGACACTTGTGGCTCTGCCACGGCTGGGAGAAATGGAAGACTGCATTCCGGCTCCCTACCATGGGCACCCCTGAAATTCATGACTTAGGAGAGGGTCAGCTGCAGTTAGGAGTTCCTGCAAGGTGCCCAGGGCACCTGCTCCCCCAGCACACCGACTCCAAACCCAGGGAGTTCTGTGGATGCTACGGAATCTGTTGGGATCCTTATCTCCATGTGCCTTGCAGCTCTTCCCTAGAACTGACCTTGTGATCACCCAGAGAGGGCACCCTGAATTAAGACGGCAGCAGGAATGCCCAGCCCAGCCTCGGCATTCCCCACCGTAACCCCCACGGTGAGACCACTAGCAGGGCTCAGTCTTTGGCTGCCGGGGAGCCTCAAGGAGGAAGCTGCCCCCAGAGTGAATGCTCACAATATGGCTTCTCCTAGGTCTGCAGAATCAAATTCCCCCAAATCCATGCAGGGACCCCAGAGAGCAGACCCTGGATCCACAAGGCCCCGGTCGATTCTAAGTGTCTGTGAATCTGCGATCACAAGACTCCCCGCTTCCTCATCGACTTCGGAGACGTTGTCTAAATGCCCGAATCCTAGGCCAGTCTCAGAAGAGCACCGATCCTGGGGCAAAGCCAGGAAACCCGCAGGCTCCTAGCTTACGCTGTCTGAAATCCACCGAGCGCAGCACCAGCAGTGACGCTGGGTACCACGGCATCGGGAGCCTCCACCAGGGAGGCGCCGGGCTCGGCTTCCATCGGGACCCCTCCCCCACCGCACCTGCAGGGCTCCTTGTCACCTACCCAGCTGTGACTCGGGGCCTGGACTTGAGGCCACGCTCTGCCACTAACAGCCACCTGCCCCAGCCCCGTGACTGAGTGACAGGCTTCTCCCCCCGCCCCGCCCCGCCCCTGCTTTCCGTAATGTGCACTTCAGAAGTTCCAAGCGATGATCCCCGAGATAACCTCCGGCTCTGCTGCAGAACACATCCCAGCGGCACCTGTCGCCACCCTCCCCAGTCATCCCCCAGGGGCTGCGGGGGCTGCGACCTGCGGATGCCCAAGTCCCTAGACAAGACAGGTAGCGCTTCCTTACAACTCACGCATTGCCCCGTTTACTTTAAACCACGTCCAGGTCACTATTAGCTCCTCACACAACTCAAACACGATGTACATGGCTACTTTACTCTACTGGTGAGGGAACAACGATGAGAAAAACGTCTGGACGTGTTCTGCACAGATGCAATTTGGTTCAAAACTATTTTCCATCTGTGGTCGAATCTGTGGATGTGCAACGCGCAGATACACTGTGCCAGCTGTTTACCACTGCAAACAGGAGATGCTCTGGACACCGTAGAACACCGGCATCCCATAACCGAGCACCAGTTCAAGTCCCAGCTGCTCTGCTTCTGATCCAGCTCCCTGCTAACGCACGTGGGAAGGCAACAGAAGACGGCCCAAGTACGTGGGCCCTTGTGCCCATGCGGGAGATTAGGATGGAGCTCCTGGATCCTGGCTCTGGCTCTGGCCTGGCCCAGACCTGGCTGTTGTGGCCATTTGAGGAGTGAACCAACAGACGGAAGCTCCCTCTCGTCTCTCTGCCTTTTAAATAGATAAATCTTTAAAAAAAAAAAAAAAAAAAACCAAGAACACAGGGACACGTCCACCTGTCGCGTAGCAGTCACTCTAACCTCACGAGATCCCAGTGGGCGTGGTCGTGGATGAGGACATAGAGTGTGTGTGGATTCTGCAGGGAGTTCTGCAGGAAGGCCTTGAATTTTGTCTGTGCCTCCGCGTCCAGCTTCAGGACGTACTGCTCCACCCTCTGCTTGGTCATGTGCTCCTCCTCCAGGCCCAGCTCCAGCAGGACCCCTGCAACACAGCAGAAACTCGTCAGGAGCTGCAAACACGGTCCCGGGTTTCGTCCACCTGCAGGCCCCTGACGGACAACCTCTACCCAGCAGGCTTAGGGTCGGGCTCTGGGGCTGCCGTCTACGTGGAGCTGCTCTGCACGGGAGCTGAGGCCACGTGCCCAGCAGCCCACCCGGGGCTCCAGCAAAGCTGGATCCGTGGCGCCGGGGACCCCGGGCATGGTAACACAGTAAGAGAGAGAAAAGGGAGGATCCCACCACCAGCCAAGCCGCCTCTTGGCCTGAACATCCCAGGAGTGAATTCTTCGAGACAGGACACTGACTGTATTTCATGTTTAAATACAACCTCCTTGAAAGCACGAGGAAAATGCAAAACGGAAGCCATGCTCAGCTGGCTCTCTGGCCTGGGTGGGACACAGCGAAAGTTCAAGTCTTGGTTCTCAGGCGTCAGCTCTGGGTGTCACCAGCTCTGGGCGTCAGCCTCGTGATGGATCAAATGGGGATGGTAACTGACACTCGCCCCATCTACTCCACGGAGAGGAAGGCCCCAGCCCTCCTCCCAAGGCCGCGCACCTGAGTGCCAGACGTGGCACAGGGTCTGCTGGTAGGTCACTTCTGAGGGAGGGATGCAGATCAGGAAGTCCACCTTCTCGAAGGAGCCCAAGTCCAGGTTCTGGGTGCTGGAGTCGGCGATTGAGCACACGTGGGAGAGCAGCTTCTGGGCCACGGCCAGCTGGAAGGGCCGGATGCCGTGCGGCTCCAGGCGGTAACCTGGAACGGAGCCCCGAGGGCAGCTGAGCCCTGGGGGCAGAAACCCACCACCCAGGCACTCGGCCGGGGATCCCACAGTGAGCCCAGCGCGTGCTCAGAGCAATGAGGGCCAGGGAGACCCTCACAGCCAACCACTGCCTGCTCTCAGCTTGGCCCTGGGCTGGACGCTACCGCACCACTTCATGTTCTAGGAAAAGCGTAAGCCAAGTGCTGGGGGCACAGAGGAAGCAGTGCCTGCAGGGGACAAGCACAGCACCCGGGGAGGGGACACCGAACCCGGACTGGGGAAGAGCTTGGAAGTGCTCTGGAAGGGACGGAAGGTCCCCAGCTCCTCAGGAAGCCACCCACCCACCCACTGTGCACACCTGAGCCTCTCACCACCCACTGTGCTCACCTGTGTGCCTCTCACCACCCACTGTGCTCACCTGTGTGCCTCTCACCACCCACTGTGCACACCTGTGTGCCTCTCACCACCCACTGTGCTCACCTGTGTGCCTCTTATCCACTCACTGTGCACACCTTGAGCCTCTCACCACCCACTTGTGCATACCTTGTGTGCCTCTTAATCACTCTACTGTTCACACCTGAAGTCCTCTCAACCACCCACCTGTGCAAATCTGGGCCCTTCCACGCTCTTTTAACTAATAGTGTAGACTTGAAGCCTTAC